TGCCTAGCACATCTTCTATGCTCAACCTCTGGTAGAGTCTCATACAGTGCTGACATTAAGCCCTGAAAAAAAGGGAAAAATGAATATAAGAGTTACAATAAAAAGTTCAGAAGCAAGCAAATGAAATATTCATGAATGGTAACACTATTTCACCTTTTGTTGGTCAGAAACAAATGCCCAACCTGCTCCTCTTCCAATGTGTAGATCATCTCTAAGATTCTCAAGAAACCACTTCCATGTTGCTTTTGTCTCAGACCCCACAACAGCCCCAACAATTGGGAACTTTTGATTGTTAGCATCCCTTGCCCCTGCTGTGAGTATTTCTCCCTTTACTTCAGACTTTAGGAATGCACCATCAATCCCAATTAACCTTCTACAACCCTCCAGAAAACCCCTCTTACATGAATCAAAGCATACATAAAATCTTTCAAACACATCATTGGGCTGCTTAAGTTGTAATATGCATGTTTTTCCTTGATTAGACCTAAGGATTTCAGCTTTGTAATCCTCCACTTTGTTGTACTCACACTCTTTATTTCCCTTTTCCTGCTTCCTTATCATTGATTTTGCTTTCTTCATTTGTTCCAAAGATACATCACAATTCGGTTCTCTTTTAACCATCTCTTTCATAGCACTGGTTTTCATGTGAGACACACCAGGCTTAGTGTTGAAAAAAAATTCACCAACCACTTTGCAGTGGCACTAGGAATTTGCCAGCCTGGATTGCATGTATGCTCCATGTTGTAGGTCTTCAGCACCCACTTCTTGCTGCTACTTCTATTCTCAATGCCAGAGTAGGGCACCCATGTGCAAGTCTTATTCAAATTAGAACATTTGGCCCTAAGCATGTTGGAGTAGTTTTTAGCCCAATAGAAGGGGTACCTGCTACTCACACAGTATTTATTCACAGCATCCTTTACCTCACTTTTTGACTGAAAGCTCTTTCCCAAAGTGAAATCAACCTTGTCATTTGGTTTGAAGCTTTGAAATCTGGATTTTACTCTTACAAACTCTTCTTCATCATTGTTAGAACCAGATTTGTAACTTCCTTCATCGTTTGAAGTGAAGTATTCTGCATCATTGCCATCATCATCCAAACCTACCTCTTCCTCAAGTAGTGTTTCATTGGCAATGCTATTGTCGTGTTTAATCTTCCCATGACTCTTTGAATTTGTTACAAGCTTCTTTAGCAATAACCTAGCATGGAGTAACTCCTCATCATCTTCGTTTTCAGAATTTGCCTCATCCTCAAACAGTAGACCTGCTTCTGCCTCAAGAATTGGATCTTTAAAACCCAAGTCAACGATGAACGGAAGTTCAGTAGTACGACCCTCCTTTGTTTGCATGTTTCATATTAAATGTGTTACCATTTCAATATTAGGACCCTACATATGTTCAATGCATCTCATACAGTTAATTTACATGCAATGCATCTCGTCTACTTATGTTCAATGCTCAACTACTTAAACTCACTTCACACACAAGGTAAAACATGTCTTAGCAGTAACGTAGTACGAAACTGACATTGACATACCTGGCTTTAGAAGACCCCATCTCCATCTTCGAATTAGGGTGTTCAATCTTCTTCTCCGCGCTTTTAGTTGCGTTGCTTTCCCTTCACATTTCCCAAACGAGCACTACAGTTAGGTTTAGAAACTCCTAAGTGTGTGTATGCGGCTGAGGTGGCTAATTTTAATGCCAAATCAGTAATCCGTTGGCCATGTCAGCGAGTTAGCAGGCCTAATTGCCCGATGGATGAAATCATACCCAATTTGGCAACTTGATGTACCGTTGAATCCCAATTACAGAATCATGTACTCTTTACTCCCCGGCTCCCAAGTTGATGCACCAAACTGACACTTTTCTCAATATGAAAAGTATTATTTTGGTGGACATAAATGAAATGCTAAGTGCAAATGTAGACAATACGGGTAATTTGCACAATGTTTTTTAGTAATAGTAATAGTTAGCCAAGTCCAAATAAAAAACCCAATAGCCTACACAAATTACATTATACACCCGGGTGTACATGTACACCCGATTATTAAATGACGTGACAATCTGATTCTTCTTTTGCCGTTTTCCTCATTCCCTCACTCCCGTTGCTTTTATTTATTTCAGCCGCCATTCTTTTTCATTTTTTAGCCTCCATCCCGTCATCCTAGTTCTTTTTATATTTGTTTTGTCTTTTTTATTTTACCTTTTCGTTACTTTTTTTCTCTTCTTTCTTTTTTCTTTTCGTTTCTTTTATTTTACTTTTTCGTTACTTTTACTTTAGTTAATTTACTTTAGTTAGTTTACTTTTTTGTCTTTTTTCTTTTTTTCTTTACAGGAAATGTGTATTGATATATGTTCTAAAATGATTACTCATGGAGGTTATTAAAATGAATTGTGTGTTATACGATATTGAGTATACCGTTTAAAGTAAATGTGCATTGATGTAACATTAATGAACAGTTGAGCACATTGGAGATTTGAAATGAGCTTTTGAATTTTTCGATGCTCATTTTGTAAATTATACTCATTATACTCATTCAGCTTTGGCTGTATGCTCATTTTAAAATGAGATACATTATATTATATTCACACATTGAAATTCATAAGACTTGGTTATAGATATAATTCAATAAGTTTTTATAAAAGAAAAAAAAAAACAAAAAGAGAGTGAATCTGAAGTTATGAAACAGAATTCACGATGCTTAATATTGGAATCTTAATACTCAATAGAATAAGTATGATGCTCATTAAACGTTCATTAATGCTCATTTAACAAAAACTGTGATTTTCATCTCAATAGATGAGGTCTGATGCCCAATTCAAATGTCTTGATGTTCGGCTAACAACCCTTACGATTTTCATATCAATGTGCACTTTGAAAGTTATGTATGCTCATTTAGTACTGATGTTATGCTCATTTTTAAAATGTCATATCAATGCATATTTCAAAAGTATCATATTACATTAGATTCGTATATTGGAATTAATATGAGTGGATTATAGATATAATTTAATAAGTTTTATAAAAGAAAAAATAAGAAAAAGAACAAAAAATAGAAGATATAAAGCAGAGATCGTGATACTCATTATTAGTTTCTTAATGCTCAATAGATGTGGCAATTTTAGTGGATGCTCACTAAAAGTATTCCACTTTTTTCGCTTAAAAATGGCACATATTTTTTGGGTATTGCTTCGTGCACCCCTTTAATTGCTGTGCGCACCTCTCTCTCTGACAAAAATGTCCTTGTTAACGTTTTTTCTAGTAAAATGAATCCACGTACATCTTTGATTATATAGCAATTTACATCATTAGTAAGTTAAACACGAAAATGACACATTTCACATAATAATCTTATACGGGAGTATAATATAGGAAAACCAGTACACTTTTTTTTTTATCTTGTTTCATACTCCGTATGTATTTATTTCGTGCAAGAATAAATACAAAACAAGAATTACGTACATAATGAATCAAAGAACGTCAGAGTATTTCTAGTCCAATATAATTATAAAAAGCAATTACATGTGTGTGTATACTAAAATATACTTATGCATACATGTGTGTGTATACTAAGATATACTTATGCATCGGAGTAATATATTAATATTTATATCTGAATGAGATGAATGGAAAATTATCAATGTCATTTTTATATATAGTATTTTATATATTCAATTACTAATATACTAGCTAATAACGTTACGGTGAGGTGGGGCCGGTCATAGGTCTACATTTTTGGGCCTGTGCGATTCACGGGGCGGGGTGGGTCCACCCTAGACCTGTACAAAAACGGGTTCAGACCGGGCTCGGGCCGGGCTTTTTATAAATTTCCTGCCCATCATGTGTGGGCGGGCCCGGCCCGGCCCGCAATAACGGGCCTAACTTGATGTCCATACCTGCCCGTAAGAGCAGGCCGGGTAGTCCAGCGGGCCGCCCGGCCCGGGATCACTTTATTTTTTTCAAAATTATATGATTTTTTAATACTTTAAAAATAATATTACAACTTTTAAAAAATTGTGAATACACTTATAATGTGTATAGGTCTTTCACCACATACAAAAAAATACTTACACAAAAATAATAATGAGAAACTATATCTAAAATTTAAAATTTAAGCACAAAATATTATCTTTAAGTACAAAAATAGATATTATATTGGTTGGGCTAGTTGTTAAGAACTTAAAATTTAAACATAATAAACTTTAAATATGTATAAAGAAAAATTAGTAAATATAAATATACGTGTATATGTAAATTGATAAATAAATTGGTGTGTATATACATAAATAAATTGATAAATAAATATACGTATATATATGTATGTATGTATACTAAATGTAGCGGGCTGGGCTTATCGGCCCGAACGGGCCTACACCCTAACCCAAGCCCGTCCATATCTTATTGTGGGCCGGGTGGGCCGGGTGGGCCGGCCCAGTTTTGTACAGGTCTAGTCCACCCAGTAAAGTTACGGGGCGGGTCCGGGTCCTTCCGTACTCGCCCCGCCCCAACCCATTGTCAAGCCTGTTTATTCAGGTATACAATTCAAGTGTAACATAAATTACAACAAAATTGTAAGAAAAAATTAAATCTTAATCAGAGAAATAATTGAATTTTAACCATAAAAGTTAAAGACCGTGCAATTAAGAGATAGCTAGAATCATATAACTGAGTTCTTATAAAAAAAGTACATGGGAGTTCATGCGTGTGAAATTGAAGATATGTTCTTTAAAATAAAAAATATTTTTGTACTTATTTCTTTTAGTTTAATTTTTTGATCATCATTTCTTTTAGTTTAATTAAAATATAGATATGTTATTTCTTACCCCTAGTTTTTTGTTGTAAATGGTAAATGCATAGAACAACCATACTTTAAAATAAGAAAAGTAAACAAAAAGAAATAGAAGGAACTTGGGGGACGGAGAAAAAGTACGGCTAAGGCCCGAATGAGCAAATCTGTTATTGCTCAATGTATTCCATATGAGACCAAAAAATGTGATGCGCAGGGCAAAGCTGTCCATGGGTGAAATAAAAGGGGTGCGTTTAGAAATCTGTATGCTGCGCGAAGAAGGTCCGTATTTTTTTTGTCAAATTTATGGGCTGTCTTCCATAGTTGGGCCATATAGGAGCCGCAATAGCCTAGAGCCGGAAGTGAGCGTTGATTCAAGGCATTCAACCAGAGGAACGCAGCTTGCGTCGAGGGAAATAGAGCAGTCACCCGTTCGGCCATTCCACATGCCACAGCACCAAGGCCAACTCCTTCCTCTGTGACCTCCGTCTAGGCCTCTAGAGACGCCACCGCAGCACGCCAGCACTCCGGGCAGTCCAGCATCGGCTGCATCGCACCTCTCCAAGTCCGCCAGCTCAGAAGTCGCACCACTCCGGCACTCCGACCACTCGCACGGCAAGTCTTCGCTACAACCGCATGTAAGTTAATCTATTTGATTATTTTAATTGATTTTCTTACATGTATAGATTATTAGTAGATTATTTAATATTTATGCCTGATGCCTCCAACCTCCTATTCTCCTAATCTATCGGTCTGTATGATATTTAACAAATTAAGTATTTTTTTGTATGAATACATTTGTTTTTAGTCGGTATGAATACATTTGTTTTTGCTATTATCACTATTTATGTTCAACATTATCTTTAAGAAAGGCCCATTTTTTGGTCGCACAAGGTCTCTATATTTTCAGGACCGACCCTGCTAATGATAATACTTATTAAACTTTTCAAACACTCATATTATTTACAAAATACAATTTTGATCTTATTAAAATATATATCGATACTTTTTATTTGTGTTGTGCATTTATAATATAATTTGGCACGATTTTCATTCTTAAATAAATATATAAATATAGTACACATTTTTTCATTTTAGCGTGTTGAAATTGCAATTATATGGGTTTAAAAATTCTTAAAAATTAAAAAAATGTTTTTTTTTAAAAACAATCAAAACCGGGTTTTCAGGAGTTTTTCAGGTCTGGGTTCGGACCGCGTTTTCCATGGTCAACCGAGTTTCTCCGGATTTTTGTAATTTCCTAATTTTTAACTAACCAAACTGCATTTTAGTCTGTATCACCGGGTTCCAGATCGACCCGGCTAGTCTTGGTGGGTTTTAAACACAGTTTTTACTTTTTAGTTCAAAGGAGGTTAAGGAGCCGCCAATAATTTCCGTTACTAAGCATTTAGTTCAACAGGAAATGAAGTACCTTTTTTTTGTGGTTGCAATTTTGGTGATTGTGCCTAGCAAAATGAAGTATATTTTTTTTAACTCAACCGTATCAGGGACATGAATTCTTCACTCACCGAAACATTTTTAATTTTTGAATTCAGTATTGAGAATTTTTATCCATTGACAATTGTAATTAGGTGAGAATTCCGGTACCTGAATAAAAAATATAGTACCTGTGTTACAGGTAAAACCTGTAAAAGAGATGTCAGATAACAGTTCTAGTATGGTTATATCTGGGGCAAATAGTTTATTATTTAGATATAAGTTTGCAGAACTGAAAAGGAAAATGTCTGAAATGAAGGACAAAAATGAGAGCATTCAGGAAGAAGAAGACAGAGACAATTCCCAATACCCTCCCAATTACACCCTTAGGATAATTTATACTATTTACGGGACCACTGGAATTCCTTCAGCAAGGTGTTAGTTAGTTTTGTCCGCATGCTTCTCCTTTTCTCTCTTTCCACTGTTATTTCCTTCTCAGCTGGGGCCCCACCACTTTCCTCTTTATTCCCACCCTCCGCTGCATTTGTTACAATACCTTCCCCTTTAAAAGAGACATTGTCCCCAAGGTTGAAGTCTTGAAAAGCCAACTGGATTGCTGCCACATCTTCCCATGTAGCTTGGTTGTCCTCCAGGGCTTCCCACTTGACAAGATTCTGCTGCACTTGCTGATTGTTCCTGAGAACCATCCTAGATTGTAACACTGATTCGGGTTGTAACACTGGCCCCAGTTCTGCATTAGTAATAGGTAATGGCACGTAGGTGTGAACCGTGTGATCATGCTCTCCCTTGCAATGCTTCAATTGAGAGCAATGAAACACTGGGTTAATTTTGACTGCTGGAGGTAGAAAAAGCTTGTAGGCAACCTCCCCAATTTTCTCAATAACTGGGAAAAGTCCAAAGTATCTCAAGCTGAATTTCTGATTCTTACGCAATGAAACCGAATGTTGCCTGTAGGGTTGGACTTTCACCAATACCATGTCGCCAATTTCCAGCAAGAATGGTTTCCTCTTTTTATCAGCGTATTTCTTCATGTGTTGCTGTGATTTTTGCAATGCCACTTTCAATTTGCTTAGTGTCTCATCTCTTTGGTTTAATTGTACTTGGACACTAGGAGGGTCCTTACTGTTAACAACATACGTGAATAGAGAAGGTGGCTCCCTCCCATAAACCACTTTAAAAGGTGTAATCCCAGTACTATGTGTTAGGTACATGGAAATCTGGCGATGAATTTTGAATATTAAAACTGAAATAGTAGAAACCGAAAAGAAACGATACAGATGAGGCAAGTTCGAGAGTGCCTCGTCTCTCCCAAGTCCCAGTCCTATCCAAAGTTCTGCCCCCCTTATTTTATTCTCAACCCCTATTAATAATCATTTATCATTCCCTTATGGTCCGGCCCAAAGCTAACTAGTACCTGACCCAAAACCCTTATATATACATATCCCAATTATTTAATATAATTCTATTATTATTATTACGCTAATCTGTCCTGATCCTATCATATTTCCCCCCTTAGACAACCACCTTGTCCTCAAGGTGGGTCATAGGAAATCGCCCTGCAAATCAGCTTCATCCTGGCGCCTCTACCTTCCCAGTATCTCCCTGATGGTCGGACCATGTGCTTTAGTGCTTGAAACTTCATTATTCGTTTTGAACAACGTAGTCCACACCCAGGTTTATCCAGATTCACTTCAGGGAGAGTTATGCTGTTACCTTGGAGAACATAATGCTTGTTCTGTTGCTCAAATTGCTTGGTAGACCAGCCATTTTTCTCATAAAATTGCCATTGTCTAGGTTTTGTCAGTACAAAAAAAGAATTGAATTCCCTGCTCATAAAATGGCATATGTCCTCAAACTGAAGCTTGTATGAGCAAGAATGCTGTGATGATAAAGCCTCAAAGGAATCTTCACTGCCCTTTTCAGATAGAACAAACAATTGGTATCTGACATCTTTCTTGTATTTTCTCCAAACCCGTTCTTGGCTTACACTTTGTGGGATAACCTTGATAACTGTGAGGACATTCCCTTCAATATCCTTCCCAGAAAGAACTAGTTTCTTAATTCTTGGGAGCTCTGGGAGAACCAAATCCGTTGGCTGAGATAGTATAAGTTCTCCAACAAACGAATCTGAACGGATTGGTGTATATCCAAGTACAATACGACAAGTATAGTCTTCATTTGTGACTTCATGAATAACCTCCTTGCCTTCAAAGCATTCGGGAAATGTTAATTCAACTCCCTTTGGTTCCCCAGGCTCTACTGGTCCAGACAAGATACTCTTGGGGCTTCCTTTCATCCCATCTTTTCTTATAGGATGTAAACAAGTTCTATGCAGTTTTCAACATCATCAATAGTCAAATTCGAAAAGTAACTAAAACTGATTTTATCTTTGACACCACCAGTCTTTACTGGAAACCATTCACCCATCTCCCCGCCAGTATAAGCAACCTCGAAGCCAACACGTTCCCCTTCGGTCAAAGATCCATCAGATTGGAGCAAAAGGCAAGTTGGTGGCCCCGGAAGGATAGGTCCAATTTGATCTGAAAGAACAAGAGCACCCCTGGTCCAATCACAACAGATAGGTTCACCGGATCATTTCATTTTCATTTTCATTTACCCCAGTGCCGCAAAGGCTCCCACCTACGGTGGGGTAAGGGGGGTCGGATGTACGCGGTCTTACCCCTGTGCTAAAGCACAGAGAGACTGTTTCCGGATGACCCATAGTGAAAATCCCGTCCAAAATTGCATGGGCTGGCTGCTGCTTCATAACAAAGAAGCGCAGACAGTTTAGTGAGCCATTTTGCTTTATTCCATCATAATCTCAAGCCAAAAAATAATGAATCTTTGGCTCCATTGCAAATGATGGAAATATGATGGAGATAGGTTCACCGGATACAGATATGAAATAGCCAACATCATCCAGTGAAAGTAAATAGGACGGTTCTGTAGGGATTTCAACTATTTGTAAGGAAAGCAGCCTCTGAGTTCCTGGGCGACCACTTTCTTGGCCTTTGCAAACTTTAGACTCACCAATCTGGCCATCATCCCGGACTGGAGTGCATTTAAATGATAGAAGTTTACCAATAGCGTCCTTAGCTAAGCGATATTGAAGAAAACCTGATGCTTCTGATATTTTTACATCAGAGACATTTTCACCCTCATGAAGATGCCAATTGTAAATGCTTTTTCCTTCATGACCACCAATATAACCATATGCTGCAGTAAGGAATCCACTCTCACTGCAATCACCAGTGAACGCTAAAAAGTTCAGGCTGGGTGGAAGTGCTTCAGTGCTTTGTTGACTGGTATCTTCACCCTTAGGCGCTCCAGGAGTAGCTTGCCCCAGATTTAGAGAAATGACTTGCGAGGAAACTTGAGAACAAGCGGATGAGGAAACCTGCGAAATGAGAGTATCTGTTCGAGACGAAGCCAGACAACTGGAAAGGACGGTTTGCGAGTGCGAACTGGGAGAGACCGTTTGCGAGTGCGAACTGGGAGCGTCGGTTCGCGAGTGCGAACAAGGAGAAGTCGTTCGCGACTGCGAACCAGGAAAAGTGACGAACGATGATGCTGGAACCTTACTTTCCGATGGTTGAAGGCTCCTGACTGTCCTCGATCGACCTCGGGATCGCCTGCGACGGAGTTGAAGCAAACTATCGCACATCCAGTCTAGCGACTCGTTCATCGTCGTTCTCATCTCCTTCAAATGACTTTCAATATTGTCCATACTCTTCTCCATCCGCGGTGATGTACGAAATTCCTCTATCATTCCAGCTCGTTGAAGCTCTGAGACGATCGATTCTGATTCCAGGAGCGATTGCTCTGATACCAATGTTAGTTACACGGAAATCTGGCGATGAATTTTGAATATTAAATCTGAAATAGTAGAAACTGAAAAGAAACGATACAGATGAGGCAAGTTCGAGAGTGCCTAGTCTCTCCCAAGTCCCAGTCCAGATCCAATGTTCTGCCCCCCATTTTACTCCCAAAGCTAACTAGTACCTGGCCCAAAACCCTTATATATACATATCACAATTATTTAATATAATTCTATTATTATTATTATTATTATGCTAATCTGTCCTGTTCCTATCACTGTGATGGATGGAGGAATTATACCAATATTCTGCCCATGGTAAAAACTTACACCAATCCTTAGGGTTGTCAAAAGTAAAACACCGTGGATACATCTCAACGCATTTACTAAGAGCCTCAGGTTGTCCATCTGTTTGGGGGGTGGCAAGCCGTGCTTAATCTCAAAGAAGTTCCACTCAACTCAAACAGTTGTTGCCAAAACTGACTTGTAAACACCTTGTCTCGATCAGAAACTATTGATTTTGGAAACCCATGCAACTTTACTATGGTCTTAATAAACAGTTCTGCTACTTGCTTGCTAGTAAAATCAGATTTCAGGCTGGCGAAATAGGCATACTTGGACAGTCTATCAATTACTACCATAATGACAGTATGTCCATTAGAAGATGGTAACCCAGTGATGAAGTCCATGGCAATGTCCTCCCAAATCTGCACTGGAATCGGTAAAGGCTGTAGTAACCCCGATGGAAAAGCTGTATCATGCTTAGCTTGTTGACAGATGAGGCAGTTTTGCACAAATTCCTTGATGTCCGTATACATAATTACATACCATGCCAATAAAATTGAGATGCAATTCTCTTAAATGTTCTAGTGAAACCCGAATGACCCCCAAGCAAAGTATTATGAAGCTCACTCATTACTTTCTGAATCAAAACATGGCCCTTAGGCAAAACCAATCTACCGTTCCAGTATAGTAGCTGATCTGCGACAACATAGTTTGGATTTGGAGGCTGCTTTTGCAAGCAAAGTTGAATAATAGTGCTGAGTTGTGTATCTTGTGTCAACGCTTCCCTTAAGTCAGGAATCAGGAGCAGTTTAGGTTGTGATAATGCCATCATAAAAGATCTAGAAAGGGAATCAGCAGCCACATTTTCTTTTCCCGGCTTATACTCAATTGTGAAATCATACCCCAGCAGCTTATGAAACCAAATTTGTTGTTCCGGAGTGTGAATAGCTTGATCAGTGAGAGATCTGAGGCTTTTCTGATCAGTCTTTATAATGAATTTGTGGCCCAACAAGTAGTGCCTGAATTTGGCAACTGTCTTGGTAATAGCATAAAATTCTCTAGCATATGCTGACTGTCTTTGCATGGTAGAGTTCAATTTCTTTGAAAAATAAGCTATTGGATGTTGCCCTTGGCTTAGAACAGCTCCTATACCCAAGCCCGATGCATCAGTCTCCAAGATAAATGGCTTGGAAAAGTCAGGCAGGGCTAAAACATGAAGCCCTTTTGTACAGGCCTGAAGGCTTACACTTCGCCCCCTTTTGTCTGTAGCTCTGTGGTCAAACATTTTTTTTTCCATTTTACACAGACATTTTTCTGTGTGTGTGTGGTTCACCATAAAAAACGAAAAAATTGTAACACAAACAAAACGGGGCATGTAAGTGGCGTGTAAGCCTTTGACGTGTACATGAAGCTGCTATGTCCCTAAATTGCTGTATTGAATTAAATGAGTAAAACCTATAATTTATTTTAGTGTGAGGGTCTATAAAGCTGAAAAACCCACCATTTTACTGTCTTACACTCTTTCTAGTATTTTAGATTGTTCCCTGTGTATTTTGTTTGTTTGTTTTGGTTTAGCCAATGCACAATTAATGTCAATATCTGCCTCCTATTTTCACATATTCCCATTAGTTGTTGTTAGTATTAATTTATTAAACTCATATTCTCTCTGACCTGTTGCAATGGATGTTGTTTTATACTACTTACATTACATATTGGCCCCCGTTGGATGGTAATACTAGATCCGCCCCCTGGATGCTGGACGAAGCTCAATGAACAGGAGTATCTCCCTTCTTCAAAGTGAAAAATAGTTATAGAAAGGGGGAAATTTGGACCATTTCTGTAGCCTTTGTTGGATTTACTCTGTAAAATGGCAGTTGAATTTGGTAGAGCTCTTCCGCATATTCTGATTGCGCTTGCTTTTCATTCTACCATCTGTGTCTGCTCTTCAATTTCTTATCAGGTCAGTGAAACCCTCCCCTTTTGGAATGATATACTTTTGCTTATTATTTTTTGTGCTTTTGACTAAGATAATGCATGATTATTAAGAATTCACCACCGTTTACTCTTGGTAGATGTGACAATTCAGATAGTTTATTGATTTTATTGAATGGTTCTTCTTAGTGACAATTCTATCTTCATCTTTTGGAAGAACAATGTAGAATGGGTAGATCAGGAATATTGTTGATTGGCTAAGGGTTATATAAGGTTACATATGACCATGAAAGTTTGATTTATTGCGGTGCTCGCAGATGTGTTTTGCATCTCCATTAACTCAGAGTAATTCCTTTAATAAACTCTAAATTAGTCTTTTTGTAACAAATTCCTCCACCTCCTAGTGAAAAGATGTGTTACCCAGTCACTCACCCACTCTGAAGAGGGAATGTTCTTATCCAATTATGACCTCAAATACATTAGCGTTGCTAATATATAGTTTATTTTGCGTACTTGCGTTTTAAGTTTTTCAGTTTCATGTCAGTCACTATTCTAAGCATCTTTATATTCTTCTTAATAGCAGATCTCTTATGTCAACTGGGACTTTTGTCAAGCCAAACACAGTTTCTGGTGCAATAGCTTGTTTCTTAGTTAGATTCTGAAGTGCTAAAAGAAGACCTAAAACTAGTTGCTTAAGTTTGAGCCAATCATTTATTTTCCATTAAATTTTATTCTCTTCCAATTATTAGCCTATTTTATTGCCCTAGTAGTTTTTGTTCCAATTAATCCCTTTACGTTTCTTCATAGACTCTTCCTGTTATTGTGTTTCAGGATACTGACAACAACTACAAAGTAAACTCTAACAAACACAACTCCAGTTTGTTGCCTTGTTATACAAGATACATCTTAGAGTCTTATTTCAGAGAGTATGAGAGTTGCAGTGATTCCAACTTCCAAGAGTATATGGTGCATAAGATCCCTTTTGGGTCAGAAAGAACATTTGGCAGGCTATGGAACTTTGAACGCCGTCTGATTGGAGAGGGTTCTCATCGCCGCCTATCTTCATTTATTAGATTCAGCATTCATCAAGATTGGATAGCTGATATTTCCTTTCAGGCGTGTGAGGTCATACTCATTGAGAAATTGCCCCTTGGGGTTTTTGCAGACCCTTTTGAGCTTGAACATCTTCTTCATCGTGGAGGTGTTCTCCCTATTGTGCTTTAGAAATTTCCGATCAAGGTCTCGTTTAGTAGCATTAATCAGCTTATGGAAAGCATTTGGAACAAGCAAAACAATTATTGTTTGACTTGCTTATTTTGGCTGAAATCCATTTCACCAAATGGGTTTCCCTTCATAAAGAATCAACATATTCAACTATTCCAGTGAAATAATCCTTACCAAACGGGCTCTTATTTTTCAACTTTCTACTATATTGACTCCAGAATCTCCATTGCAGTACTCAGAGATGCTTTTGTTTTTGGAGATGCAAATTTGGAATTGCCTTCTTTTCTTTCCAACCAGTCAATAGTTGAAGTTCACTTAGAAGCAGCCTTGGATGAATTGGCACGGAAGGAGATTATAAAAGAGTTCAATGTAGAAATCCCGATACATGCACGATATTCTGTAAGCACTACACAATTCGTCATTCTTCAACTGCCAAAAACTGATATACGTTTGTTTTAACTTAAAGTTTCTGGTTCTATGGATGTCTTTCAGATTTAGATTGATCTGAAGATTGAGTTGGTATCACCATTTAATATACTGAATCGGAAAAAGAAATTACTTTTCCTTTATGAAGGCATTATTCCATTTATTTCTTAGGCTATGTTGGTTTCAAGAAAGTAAAATGTTGGTTGGAAATGTCTCCCTCCAAAATAAGTTGTTTTGTGTGTACTAAAATGTTTGATTTATGAAAAAGTAAAACATAAAAGTGTCTCAGAAACAACTTCCCTTTTTAAAATTGGGTACTAATTCCCTAATAATGTCCAAAGAGTCAAAGCAAGGAAATATTTTCTGTCTGCAAACACAAAAGAAAATTGCTTGGTAATGAAACCGTTTTCCATGTTTACACGGGAAAATCAGACTTTTAGGAAGATTCTTAATAAACAGAGCATTGGTTTAGAAGAAAGAGTAAAAGAAGTGATTTACTATGCAGATTTGAAACTGACGTAATAGCTGTCATTGTGAATTTACGGCTGTACTTTTGAGTGTTTAAAGGTTAGGAACCAGTCATCTGATCTACGAATAGGAAAATGTTAAATAATAGGATAAATACGTATTTAGATAAGTCCCATGTATTTAGAGGTCTTATGTAACTAGTCAATACTGTTAGCATATTATTAGCATAGATCCTATTTTCTAGGAGTTAGTTGATTAGATTGTACTCTATTTAAATCAGATCTGTGTGAATGAATTATAGATCAGTCAGATCATTTTTAACTAATATGGTATCAGAGCCGCTGATCACTCAGCCGCTATTCTTTTAGCCGCTGATCAATCATGAAATCCCCTTCTGGTAGCGCCGATTCAACCAGTGAATCCAGTGTGTCCAGTCACACTGGCGGTGCAAATCCCACATCTCAATCTGATTCTTTTCAGAATATTTCTATTACTTCTCATAAATTAAATGGGAATTACCTCCAATGGTCTCAGTCTGTCAAATTGTTCGTTCAAGGACGGGGAAAATTTGGATATCTCACCGGATCCACAACCAAGCCGAAGGAAGGAGAGGAAGGACTTGATCGATGGGAAGCTGAGAACTCCATGATGATGTCATGGCTTGTGAATTCAATGGATTCAGGTGTTGGTCGTGCCTACTTGTTTCTGCCAAGTGCACATGAAATCTGGACTGCCGTCCAGGAAACATACTCAGACTTGGGAAATGTCAGCCAACAATTTGAGATCAAGAATCAATTAAATAAAACACGACAAGGAGACAAGAGTGTCACACAGTACTACACTGAACTGAGCACTCTGTGGCAAGAATACAATCTGTTTTGCAACTACACCTGGAAATGCGCAACAGATAGTGCATTATATAAAAAGACCACCGAGAAGGAGAGGGTCTTTGACTTTCTAGCTGGACTAATCAAAGAACTTGATGAATTCGAGGTCGAGTACTTGGAAAAGACCCACTGCCCAACACACGGGAAGCATTTGCAGAAGTTAGGAGAGAAGAAAGCCGTAGGCATGTGATGCTTGATGCTGAAATTTCATCACATGCTGAAACTGTAGCGCTAGCCACTTCAAATGCTGATGAGAAGCCAGAATTGTCACCTAAACTAATTCAAAAGAAAGAGAACAGACCTGTTTGTGATTACTGTCACAAGATTGGGCATATCAAAGCTAAATGTTGGAAGTTACATGGCAAACCAGCTAACTTTATACCAACAAATAGGTCACAGAGCAATTCCAAGGTTTCTTCAGAAGAATCAAATGTCTATCAATCCTCCAGTGACAACTCTTCCATCAAGGAAAACCTAGAGTAATTGTGTCATATACGGAGGACACAACAGTTTGCTAGTAACCTTAATCCCAACTCATCCAATCCATCATCCTCATTGATCCAAAAAGGTACATATGCAGCAACATTTAATCTTAGACTAGATAAATCTGACCCTTGGATCATTGATTCAGGGGCCACAGACCATATGACAGGATCCCCATATCCGTTTTCCACATTTTAAAATTGCAGATGGTTCTTTGTCTGCAATAGCTGGAAAAGGATCTATTATTCTCTCTCCTTTACTCACATTAACCAATGTCCTACATGTGCCTAATCTTTCATGTAACCTTTTGTCCGTCAATAAAATAACCAGTGATTGTAATTGTTATGTCAAATTTGTTTCTTCTGTTTTTCAAGAGAACAACTCGGGGATGGTGATTGGTAGTGCACAAGAAAGTGGTGAACTCTATTACTTTGCCTCAGACAGCCTTAAGCGTAAACAACTTCAGAAACCATGTTCTTCTAGTTGTTTATCCTTAGAGAATGAAATAAAGTTATGGCACTACAGATTAGGCCATCCTAGTTTTGGTTATTTGAAACATTTATTTCCTATTTTATTAAAAAATAAAGATGTTGAAGGTTTTCAATGCGAAATTTGTCAATTGGCTAAATACGAAAGATCTGTTTATCCCTCTTTAAATTATATGCCATCTAAACCATTTGCCCTAATTCACAGTGACATATGGGGACCATCTCGCGTCAAAACTCATTCTGGTGCAAGATGGTTTATTACATTTATTGATGATCACATACGAAATACTTGGATTTACCTTAAAGAAAAATCTGAAGCTGCTGAAACATTTAAAAACTTTAATTCTATGATCAAAACTGTGTTTCAGTCTCAAATTCAAGTTTTTTGAACTGATAATGGCAGAGAATATTTCAATCAAATCCTTGGAAGTTTTCTGGTTGGGCAAGGCATAATCCATCACAGTTCTTGTGTAATTACACCTCAACAAAATGGAATTGCCGAGAGAAAAAATAGACATCTTTTAGAAATAACTCGAGCTTTAATGTTTTCTATGAATGTTAAAAAAATATTTTGGGGAGAAGCCTTACTCCATGCTGCATACCTAATCAATAGGATGCCAAGCAAGATTCTAGGCTATCAAACTCCTTTGAAAACTCTACAAACTTGTTTTCCACATAATAGGTCTTTCACAGAATAATATCCTAAGATATTTGGCTGCACTAGTTTTGTTCACAACCATGCAATTAATCGCAACAAATTGGATCCTAGAGCTATCAAATGTATATTTTTAGGTTTTTCAAACACTCAAAAAGGTTAGAAGTGCTTTGATGTGAGCTCGGGTAAAATGTTTGTTAGCATGGATGTCACATTTTTTTGAAAATCAACCTTTTTTGAGAAAACTTCTCTTCCGGGGGAGAATTTGGAACATAATGAAGATAAGTTTTGGAATTGTACTGTACTTCCTATTCCTATGTTTAATGATAGCTTATGACAACCCTGCTAGAACAATTAATTCTACTCCTCAAAAGGATTCTGCAACTATTAGAAACATGGCACCAACTACCGAACTCCGTGTTTATACTAGAAGGAAAGAGAGGCAAGGAACTACTCCACAACTCACTACTGCAGTCCCTAACCTGAGCATCACTCCAGGTAATACTCAAATTAATAATCCTATTCTTGAGTCTGAACTCTGAACCCCTATCTGATCCCAGATCACTGGGATCATGTACCAAACACCCCATTGGTAACTATGTGTCCTATCACAAACTATCACCAAACTTTAGAGCCTTTACCACTAGCATTACTGATGATGAAACTCCAAAAATGATACATGAAGCTCTAGGTATTCCAAAATGGAGAGAGGCTGTTCTTGAGGAAATGAGGGCATTAGAAAAGAATCAAACATGGGAATTGACAAAACTTCCACAAGGCAAGCAAATTGTTGACAACAAATGGATCTTCACCATCAAATACAAATCTGATGGTACGATAGAAAGGTATAAAGCTAGACTTGTAGCTAGAGGGTTCACTCAAACATATGGTCTATATTATGAGGAGACTTTTGCCCCAGTTGCCAAACTCAACACTATCAGAGTTCTTCTTTCTTTAGCTGCAAACTTAGACTGACCACTACTACAACTTGATGTTAAGAATGCATTTCTTAATGGGACTTGGAAGAGGAAGTTTTTATGCAAGTTCCACCTGGCTTTGATAATGATAGTACTGTAGGAAAGGTGTGCAAGCTAAGGAAGGCGTTATACGGACTCAAACAATCTCCTAGAGCATGGTTTGGGAGATTTGAAAAGACTTTGAAGAAAAGGGGTTACACTCAAGCACAATATGATCACACTTTATTCTACAAACGTAGTGTAGAACGTAAAATTGCAATATTAATTGTATATGTTGATGACATAGTGTTGACAGGAAGTGATGAAGAAGAGTTGTCTGCACTGAAGAAGTTCTTGGCTCAACAATTCGAGATAAAGGACTTGGGAAATCTCAAGTACTTCCTAGGCATGGAAGTTGCCAGGGGATTGTGATATGTCAATGGAAGTATGTACTTGACTTGCTCAAAGAAACAGGTCTACTCGGATGCAAACCTGTCTCATCTCCAATTGATCCAAATAAAAATCTTGGAAGAAGTGAAGAAGAGGTTGCTGTAAACAAGGCTAGATATCAGAAACTAGTTGGGAAGCTTATCTATCTAGCTCACACAAGACCTGACAAATGTTAGTTTAGTCAGCCAATTCATGCACAACCCAACTGAAGAACATCTCAGAGCTCTCTACAGAATCATTCACTACCTTAAGGGTATTGAAGGAAAGAAATAATTTGTATTTAGAACACAATATTGTAGTTAGCCGTTACATACCTTTGACATTTACTATAGTATTATTATTTACCTTATATACATGATTAGGAGATGTATAAATAGTAGCCTTGTAAACCAGTTTTAACACACAAATATATTCAAAACATTTGTTCTCTTCTCTCTATTATAGTATCAGAGCCACACGAGCTCTAACCAGCCATCTCCCTCTTCCTACGGAGGCAGATGACCCCCCTCAGCAAGGGGATCTCAGAAATTCCTAGACGGGCAGCCTACCGTTTCTTCTACAATTTCCTCTACTGCAGTCATCAACC